ATCACTGGAAGCCTCAGATTTCTTTATGAAATATGAAAAGCTGCTTCAGGTTACTTCAGAGCTCCATACCAGCAGCAGAGAGGGGCAGCAACATCACTGTAAACTTCCTAAAGGCCTCTTAGGACCTCCAGTTTGCTTCTTGAGGAAGTGAGATGTCATTACATCCAGCTGAAGATGAGAAATTTTAAACTGACCGGAAATGGTTGAATGTTTTGAAAGACAAGGAAATTCCATAGAAGGCTGACTGAAACTTCTTTCACCCTCCACACAAAGCATGCTTCCTCACCCCACCTATTCCCACATGCACATACCTAAACACAAGGATATGCATTCACAAAATCACAAATAAAAGCCAAGGAAAATGAAATTATCTATTAATATGCTTCTGCTCTCACCAGCCACATGTTACTCTTATTGCTTCATGCAGGACAGCTGATATTACCACTGAATTACCCAAAATACTCAGAGTGACTCATGGCCCTGAGTCCACTTGTGCTGTCTGGTTTAGGTCACCTGAGAGAGGGTTATGAGGGAAGGAAGTCTCCTGCATATGACACAGAGATTGTACTGCTGAAGACAACAGGTTCGTAGGATCAAACTACTAGCCAGATTAAAAAAAAAAATGTTTCTCTACAGATTCAAAAAAAATTTCATTTTTTGATGGAAAATGATCGTACCACTTCTCCTTGTGTCTTGAATAAACTTGGCAACTAATAGTCAACCCTTCTAATATGATTCCATCTGACTGAGAGGGTAAAAAAGTAACTCTTTTCCTAGTTCACTACTGACTTTCTCAGTGAGGACAACATTTACAAAACACCTTTATTTTCTAGGATTTCTAGCAAGAAAATTTGCAGAAAACACTTTATAATGTATTTGGAAAAAGAATAAAAAGGAAGAGTACTTCATGGTTTGCTTGGCTAATTGTAGTCGGAAAGTCTGGGTTTATTCTCCATTTCTGATTGTTAAATATCTGCAATTAATTTTAAAATATTTAGAATTCCCATAGGCTTAGGGAGCAAGTTCATGTTTGAGAATCACTTGCAGAGTATACCTTTTAGATAAATGCATCAGTAGGAAACTTCTCAGCTGTTTTCTGCAGACAGCAAACTCAAATCCCCTTTGATTTTATATCACATTTTAATTCCTTGCACTTCTAGGTGTGATACCAGAATCCAGGCACAAATAGCATACACTGGGAGGGAAGCATATGCCATTCCCTCCTGTGTGAGACATCTTTCACATTGGGAAAGTGGTCAAGGGACTCCAACTCACATTGTCGTAAAATCGTCCTCCTTTCCCTTTTTCCCTTGATCAGTCTTAATGTGTTTTCAGACTGTAAAGTCTTTTAATGCGTTCCTACAGCACACAATTTATTCCATCAAAACAACATGCCTTTGAGCACACAGAAACTGACCTATTACTGCAATTGCCTGAAGTATAACCACTGTGATATTTAAGCTATAATAAAGATATTTTAATAAAATGAAATGCATCCATTTTCTGAAGAAAACAAAACAAAGCAAAACAAAACCATGCTGAATGAGGAAGAGAACATAGAGAACAAAATTAGTATTATCCTTTTTGATACCTCTTTATTTTACAAAATATTGCACACGTGAGTTACACAAGTTGAGATGAGAAATGTTCCTCTCTGCTAGGGATGTCTTTCAAAGCAATTATTCCTAAAACGTGTAAGATACAATTACAGAATAGTAACTAGCACGTACCCTTGTGGAAATGAGACGAGCTGTATATGCGTATGTGTATGTGCTGCAAATGCTCTAGGCAGTGCACTTGCAGAGGGAATGGGTACCTCAAATGTGCTGCAAATCCTCTTCTTCTTGGGGTTCTCAAGTGCCACTGACTGCATGGTTCCCTCTGGCATCACCAGAATGGGAACCAAGCATCAAAAATGTTCATTTTAAAGTAGTATATTGGCATGGCCCCTGCACAAGAGTAACATGCAAATTCATGAAGCATTCCATATTCTTTGGGCCAGTCCTGGAAGGGCTAGATGTAGAAAAGTGCTCTACACTGCAGCACAAATATGTTCAAAAATTAACACAAAAATGTCCATTTTTGGTTCATCTTCTTTATCTGCAAGAATTATAAATCTAAACGATATAAGCAAATAATTTTTGCTTCCAAACAACTTTTTGAGTAACAAATTTTCTTTTCTCTTCTGCTATCCCATAATCCCTTTGTTTACTCCCATTCAAAATAATTTGTTTTATGTGATAGTGGTACAGAAAGTCAGGAAGAATCCAGAGTAGCACACTGTATAACATAGAATGAAAACAGAAGAAGTCTTAAACAAGAGGAGGAGAAATAATATCTGTGAAAGAGGGCATATCATGAAAGCAGTTCAACCTCCAGCTTTTAGCAAGCTAAAAAATGTACAGCAGGAGGAAACAGTAAATCCAGCTACATGCCAAGGCAGCAGAAGTTCTGCCTGCCATTTAATCCTCAAAGGACATCACTATTTAGGTGCTAAGCCCTCCTGCTGGATTGGTACTCAGAAGCAATTACCATCCTTGGAGAGCATGTTGCTTAGAGCCTCTCTGACCCTCTCTTGAAATGCAGGAAGCATTTTCCATTCTGACCTGCAGTCACTGACTACCACACACTTCTGTGCCTGCTTATAATGCAAACGCTGGAATGCTGAACAAGGAAAACCAAATTTTCCACTGTTGTCCTGAATATGGGGTCATGCAACCTGAAATAAGGGTTTGGACTAGAAAAATGTGATGAAAAGGACTATCTTTTCACATTTGTGTGAGTCCTTTTTTCAAAAAGAAGGTGAGGGAAACTTCCAAGCATATGACATTACAGAATGTAACAAGAAGACAACTATGATTGTGGTTTCAGTCATCTCACTAGAAGAAAAGGAAAGTGAATAATTGAAGCCAGCACTGGGATCCTAGAAGGCAGAAAGGTAGGCTGTCCTTCATACTGCAGAAGGCTGTGTTTGTATCCATTAGCACATGGAACAGGTTTTGCAACGAGCTACCATACCCTTTCCTTAGTGTAAGAATCATTCTAGATTAGGAAGAGGTCCTAGGTACCTGGACTCAAATCATGACACACACACAAGATTTGACCCTGCCCTCTCTTAAGAGAATGACAGAATGTCTGCTGCCTCAAGATCTTGAATATGCACCTTTCTTTAAAGAGATGGAGCAGATGCTGGGCTACAAATTAGGGCTCAGCTCTGCAGACGATGCAGGCACCTCCACTCAGCTGTGGATGGCACTTACCTGCCATCCCTCCTGACCTGCCTCCTCACTCCTGCCTCCTCAGAACCAGGAGGACAGAAAGAAAGCTGATACAACCTAGCAGAATTTAATGCTGAGCACTGTGAGGTGGTCATACCGTGATAACAGGAGCTACATAATGAAATCCAGTACTATTTTATTTAAATACAGGGCTTAGGCGGTTTTGAGATTATTTGTTTTTACCATCCAAACCTCAGTAAACTGTTGTGTCACAGTAGCATGATAGTAGGACTCCTAAATGAGTAAGACAGCACTGGTCATTTCTGGCTTACTGTGCAGATATCCAAGCTCTTTTAGCACGTCGATATTTTGCAGCCCAAACTTCCTCTTTCTTCCCACTGTCTTGATTAGTTGCAAGCTCTTTGCTCCAAATGAAATTGACACCAGTCATCTGAAAACATTAAACTTATGTTCTTGTGGCCACAACCAGAATGAATTGGTTATTTAGAAGGGGGGTGGGGGAGGGGAAAGAGAAAAAAAACACCACCCACCACACCAAGAAAACAACCAGGAGAGCAGCAGAGGATGCTACATTCTTTCCAGTTTTGTTGTAATAATGGTTGGCAAAGCTTTTTAAGCTTACCTTTCAGAAACCAAGGCTACTGCTGGTAGTCCCAGAGATGGCTGCTCTGCACTGCTTTTTGGGTAGACTCACCTGGCATGTCCCTGTTACAGAAGCCACAATGAACTCTTACTCATTGGTGCTCCTGCTCTGCCGTCATAATGCACATTCCTGCCTTGGGCTATATTTTGTATCAGCAATGAGGCTCTAGGACAACTGCTCCTCACTCCTCAAGGAGCTGAAAGGTAAAACTTGTAATCAGAGGAATACAATTTTCTCTGGCACTAAAGCATCCATTAGAATTTGGAGAACTTTTAGCAGATAAACAACATTTGGCATTTGGAGGTTGTCTGCAGACTATGTGTAACTGAGGCAGTCTCATCTTTGTCCTGCAGATGAATAGTTTGTAACACTTCTTAGGTGGAGTCTATACTACCACTTTTTCCACGCTGTCCTAACTGGCTGGTCGTCTCGAAGACCGCTAATGGCAGACACCCACCTTCCTTATTTCTGTGCCTCTAAACTGTAGCACAAGGAAGGGTGGCCAGCAAATACTGTAGTGGGGCTTAGGTGCTGTCAGGAAAAGAAAACCACAAAGAGGAGGGTAAGATTGAAAAGGAAAAGCTGAGAAATAATTAACATAACCTGCCACATTTCTGCAAGAGGGGCTGCAGAGATGTGCTTTTTGCACAGTGAGTACTGTACTGCATGTAGAGGCAAACAAATACTTGTTAGACATATATGAGGTGCAGGACAAGGTCCTTGGGATGAATTTCATCCTTAGCATCAAACAGCTTTATTGCTGCAGGAGAAGGCAGGAAAGACGGGCTGCAATGCTTAAGGAAAGCTTTTGGGCGAGACCTTAACAAAGATGGAATGAACCTCACTGTGGATTCCGCTTTTGAGAACAGAAGGCTTCATGCCCAACTGTGTAATATGAGATGGAGGTGGCTGCCAGTGGTTCTGCAGGCTTCTGTTTTGACTCTATGAGTCCTATTGTCCTGTGAGAAGATGAAAGCTAAAAGAAGAAGAAAGGGGCCTATGGCTTCAGAAACATCCTTTTTCTGGAAAAGGATAAATATGCAAAAACAAAATAGTAAACAGTATGCAAAAATAAAATAATAAACATATCCCCAAAAAGATTGAATTCTGCAATCTTTTTTTAAACCATACTTGAAAACATATGAGAAAGGGAAGAAAAAGGCAAAAGCCAAGAGCATAAATGCAGAAAGACATGGACAGACCCATTAGGAAGAGAAGTACCACCATTGAAACATTGTTTGCATTCCCTAGGGAACTCTGTGCTCCTGGAAATGCTTAATATAGGTACATCTTCACCAACTTAAGGAGTCTTGGCTTGGTGGCCAGACATCAGCCCTGTTGTTTTGGAGGTACAGTCCCACCCAGGGAGGTGCCTAAGGGGATGCAGTCCACAACTCTTGCTTGGTAGAAGAACAAGCTGTTTCTTTTCCCCCAAAGTGGGATTTGTGTGAAGCCACCATCATTCAGGATCTCATGGGCTGGTCCAAGTCAGTCTGGGTAGGTGGACACAGGAGATGAAGGAAGTGCAAGAAAACGCACTCCTCAGACCGACATGTTGGCCACAGCCCTCTCATACATGCGCTCCAAGATGCGGTGGATACTGGCAAAGCTTGGCCGGTCAGCAGGCAGCTTGCTCCAGCAGAGCCGCATCAGGTTGTACAGCTCCAGGGGACAATTGTCCGGGCAGGAGAGGACGTTCCCATCCCTCACATAGTAGATGACCTCTTCGTGAGCCATCCCATAGTAGGGCTGCATGCCATAGGAGAAGATCTCCCACAGCACCACTCCATAGGCCCACACATCAGACTCTGTGGTGTAGCGGTTGTAGAAAATGGACTCGGGAGGCATCCAGCGGATGGGGATGGCATCATTCTCGTTCGCTTTGTAATAGTCAGCTGAATACATGTTCCTTGAAAGACCAAAATCAGCAATTTTGACCACCATGTTCTCCCCAACGAGACAGTTCCTGGTGGCCAAATCCCGGTGGACAAATTTGCGCTCAGAGAGGTATGCCATGCCAGCAGCAACCTGCTTGGCAATGCAGAGCTGGCTGTTGCAGCACAGAGCCAGGGGGTTAGGGAGGCGAATCCTTGTGTCCAGACTGCTGTGTGCCAGGCTGCAGAGGTTGCGGGGGGAGCGGTCACGCAGGTACTCATTTAGATCCCCGTAGGCCATGTACTCGAACAGAAGGCACATGGGTTTCCCAACAGCGCACACACCTGGAAGAGGATGGATACCACACACAGGTCACTTGGGTAGAAAAGAGAGTTCTTCTGTGCAAAACCCAAAAGATCCAGCAATGCTTACACAAAAGGGAGATTTTCAACTGTGCATAAAGAGCCAGGGAGAAAGGTAACCATGCAAATACCATCAAGTCTGCATGCATCCATCATGCATGCCGTCTCTTTGAAACTCCTTCACAAGGGGTCCAACACTGAGCTCTGTGGGAAATGTTAACCAGTCATGCACTTGACTGATTTGTCTGGACATCCCAGGAAAAATATACATTTTTGGAGCTATGTTTCATTAAGAGCTGGATCCTGCTTAAGTTAGCATTAACAGAAATATTGCCTCTTCCCAGGTGCAACTGAAAGGGCACATTTTCAGGGAGTAACCTTTATAGTTCTGATCATGTTATTTTTTAATTCTCTTATCTGTTGTCATTATTGTACTAATTATTGTAATTATTACTAATACTAACATGTAGAGGCAATACATATGCAGAAAGACTTCAAAAGTAGTTACAAGAGGCATGTTCAAGGGTTCAGTGGGATATTTGAAATGCAAAGAGACGTCCACTGCAATCTCTTTTGGATTTTTTTTTTTTTTAAATAGCTCATGGAAAAAATGTCAGTTGCAGAAATTACTTTTGGCATGAAAGAGACTCAAAAACGAAAAACAAAGAAAAAGTAGATATCAGAAAGGAGACATTTTCCATATCTGATAGATGCACATTCTATTTCCTCTGAAGGGCACATGCTTGGCTTTACATGAGCTTTATTGGTGGGCCAGTATGAGTAGAAGACCACACTTCTACCAGCATTACTGAGAATACAGTGATATGGTAAAAATATTTCTGTGTATCTCATTAAACTGCCAGTGAGCAAAAGCCAACATTTAAAATGTATGTGTTTTGCTTTCTTAAGGCTATCATTTAGCAGTTGGTGATTCAATGTATTGTCAAATCTGAAATTCTAGTTGATAACATAATATTTTTATCTTTGAAGATAAACAGAGAGCTATTCCCAATGTGATGAAATCAGGATCTGACACGCATAAGAAGTGTATGTGAGAGATTGACCACCTAAGCAGCCTTCAACAATGTGGCTGTTTTCTCCACAGCCCCATGACATGATACTAGTTTGTTCCTGTACCTTTGCCCTTTTCTGACCTAAAACATATTGACAACAAACACAAAGTTTATTTGAGTTTGAGGCATTTTCTGATTTTCTTTTCTGTAGCCTAACTACCTGTATCAACTCAGATTTGACAAAACTGTGGTTTGTCTGTTTCAAATCTAATTCAAAATTACTAAAATAAATTAAGATCTCAGCTGCCTGTTTACAGGTGTGAGATCTGCATACATCTTAGAGCGGGATTGCCAGGTGAAGGTGGCCAGCAGCATCTACCTCAAACAAAAATGACAATTTACTGAAAGAAAATTTGCTCCACAGCTTTCTTCATCGAAGAATGCCATATTAGCCAAGATGCAACATCAAGACTTCCTAAAACAAAACAATAAAGCTGAGCTTCCTTTCAGATGAGAAGGGAAGGGAAGAGAAGGGAAGGAAAAGACCATTTTTGTGATTGGCTTTCTTTGTTCATTTGTTTAATTCTGTTTTTTTAATGCTGGTGAATGTTCAGACATCACAGTTGTATGGGACCCATAAAACTAACAAGACTGGTGCCTGTGTTTTTTAAGTACCCACAAAATAAATCAAAGCTCCAGGAAGTTCATGTCTTGCCTATAAGACATCTGTGTCAATGTTATTAAAGTGGAAGCAGAGCTAGGTAGTGAGATCGCCAGCAGTATACGCGATGCAGCACGAGGAGGTTTTAATGTGATGCACCATCCTGTTAAGAGAACAGCATCAGACCAACATTTTGAGCCTCATTTTGGTGGACAATTTAACAGAGCATAAAATGGCACATAGAAAACGTCAGGTCTTTGCAGGAGGAATTTTCTCATGCAAAAATAGACCAGCACTACCGTTTGCATTTAGCTCCAGTCACTTGCACCACCAACAGCCCCACAGCAGATTTGCAGAAGTTGGCACCCTGTACATGGGTGCCTCACTGAGATACCTAAAAGCTTGACAATATTTGGATTGTCAAACTCTGCCATGAGAGCTGCTTCCCTCTGAAAGTCAGCCTGCATGTCTGCGGATGCTTCCTCCTTCAGCATCTTCACTGCCACCATTGTGAAAGGCTCGTATGGCAGCAGCCCTGGGGCCCTGCAAGGAGAGGGAAAAGAGGAAAGTATCAGTAGTGAATACATACACTCTAAATGTAGGTTCTGTTTCTGATGCAAAAGATGTGCTGACAGGAAAAAAAAAAAAAAAGAAAAAAAAAAGAAAAAGAAAACAAAAAATATAAAGGAATATTAAATACTATTTGGGCATGTTTGCATTGCATATTACAGAGACATATAATTTGGTTCAATGGGCACTAAATCCAGTATAACTTTTTTTGATTCCTATTCTTTCTGCTTACAGACTCATTACTGTGACTGGTAAAGACATAAATAAGTAACAGGCTGGTAAGCAACAACCTCTCCCTAGGTTGTAGGTCACATCATAAACTTCATAGAGGACAGAATAGACTCTTTAGTCCATCCAATTCACTTTTGGGGTGTAATGACAACTTACCAGAGTTAAAAGTAAACCTATTTTACATGAAATTGATGAGAGAGTCTTCTTCCTCCTACCTGGCACAATGGTGATTTTGGTGCATCCATCTACTATTAAAGTGAAAGTAACAATTACAGTAAGTATGTCCCTCTGGTTTTGTAAGGAAAACAGCCTTTTGTCACTATATCCTCAGGCGTTGGGGGGGAAAGGGAGGTCACATGTGTGCCTGTAATTCAACAAGTTGTAAACAAATTAGCTAGTTTCAGCTAAACTTAATGTGGTGTAGTTGAGGTTTAGAAAATAGTTATACTTCTGCAAGTTTTGTGGAAACACATGACAGGACAGAAGGGACAAAGCCCTTCTGTCCTGTGCCTTGTGCCCTGTCTGAAGAACAAGGTAATGTGCAAATACACACTTGGTGTGACACAGGTGAATCTTCAGCTGTAGCCTATAGACACAAATCCATAGAAAACAGAACCTCCTGACTCAGAGCAATCACAGACTCGTTTTCTCACCCAGAAGTCACTGCACCCTCAAGATTAGTTGGATAGGCTTGCCAAAGATTTAGGTGTAGCTGTTGCCAAAGAAGAGTAACTTTCCACTCTTCAAACACGCATCAAACCTCAAATGTACATTTTATCGCCCACGCAAATTCTTCCCAGGGACCCTGCAGCTAAAATACATTCTTACAGGTAGCAAGCCAGAGCCCATGGAAAATAATGCCCATTTATGTGTGATGTTACTACACCAGCCCAACTTCCCTCCCCTTGCTCAAGTGCCAGGTTATTTTACTGCTCAGTAGCACCAAGAGGAGACTCTGACTTCCAAAGCAAACTTCCAGTTTCGTTGTCATTCTCTTCAGACATATGGCAGTTGCAACAGTTGCACTTGGATGCTAGAAATGTCAAATGTCAGTGGATGGCAGGGGGCCCATTGAGAAAGGAATCTCACAGGTGGCTGATCACAGCTGAAGAACTCAGGCAAGGAGGTCTGGCATGCCAGAGCAGAGGATCAGACTCCACACTTGTCTGCAACTGCCTCCATTGAGGCAAAATATCTTCCTTTTTTTTCCCCATGCTGGCAGCAGTGTCCAGTCTAGTAAAAGCACCAGCACCTACCAGCTGCTAAAGTCAGCACTCAAGTCAGCAGCAACAGCCTGAAGAAACCAGTAGAGCATTTAAAAGTAAAAATAGGAGGGCTTTTATCTCTTCTAAACAGTCTCACAGATTACCACTCATCACTGAGTAGCAGACTCAGTGCAGTGCCAAAGCAGGGGCAGGCACAGTTTGGTCTTGCACGCTTTGGACAGAGAAACTCACCCCAGGCTGATGTATACCCAACCAACTTCACTGAATCCTGTAGTGTAAACTAACCTAAAGTTAGTTTACTTACCTAACTGGCACTTATAACTAAGTGAGATTAAGCTGCACAAAGTCATTTATTTGGCCTTCAGGCAACAGCAAGAAATTTCACCCTCAGTATCTCATGCTAATTCAGCCCAGTTCTTAGCAGACCTGGGAAACTCACACTGATTTGGCAGAGACAGAGATTGTCTGAACTCTTGGCAGACCACTATCAAAGTTGGCCTATTTGGTGACCAGAAGTCAGTCTGCACAAACCAGTAGGGGCACATCTGCAGGGGAGCAATGGGAAACTGCTGCCTCTGCACCAGGAGAATTCAGGTGGAGGTCCAGAAAGTGAAGTGTTTTCTGAAAAACAGGTAAATTCTCCTCTAGAGAAAAAATAGGTTAATTTTCTTCTAGAGCTGGGAAGCAAACAAAGAAATTACCTTGGATTTCCTTTCTTGCAATTAAATTCTGAGAAGAAATGTCGGCTGTTTGTGGACAGGATGGATAGCCACAGTCCTTGACTGTTTCACCATCAATAGATTTGTGCACCAGTGGCAGCATTTGGTTTTTAGGTACCTGCCATTCAAAGAACTAACCAGTGGTGCAGTTAGGAATTTCACCCTGAGCCTACCTACAGAGAGTGCCTGACTTAAGTTTCAACTCAGGTTTTCTTTCCAGAGCAGTAGCCATGAAAAATAATGATGAGTACTTTGAACCTGAATTCGAGATTGAGTCCTGTCCCCATCTTCCTCGGCAGCACAGGAGAGTAACTTCTGTTATATCATTAAAGACGCACTTAACATCGACTTAGTTGGTGGAGACCCACCTTTTCCCTATCCTTTGGTTAAATTTGTATGTGTGCAGAAGAGTGCTCTGAACTGGCAGGTGCTCATTTTTTCATGTCGCTTTTCTGGGTTTTGTTTTGTTTTGTTTTATTATTTGGTTGGGGTTTGTTGTTGTTGTGTTTGGAGGTTTTTTCATTTGTTTTTATTGATGTTGTTTTCTTGGGGGTTTTGGTTGGTTTGTTGGTTGGTTGCCGTTTTGTTTTGTTTTGTTTTGTTTTGTTTTGTTTTGTTTTTATGGGTTTTCTGGTGTTTTGGTTTTTCTTAAATTAACATCCCCACTGTTTTTCAGTTATATTTGAGACATCAGTTCAAAGACACACCCTTTGCAGATGGAGAGAACATCAGAAGACTTCTGTCATGAAAATTCAGCCTTAGAGACTTGCTTTGTCTCTTGCAGGAACTACAAGCTATGCCTTTGCAGGGGATGTCTCCTAGCTTACTAGCTCAACATCCAGGCTTTCAGGCAATCCTGGCCTTCAGTCTTTGTGTGGATGATACAGCTCCAGCTCTGGCAGAAAACGTGCACACTGGTCTGCATTGAACTGTGTAAATCTGCTGTTCTGGTGGCTTGTGCAGACAGCGTGGTCCTCCCAGAGGCAAAGTCCAGGACCTAGTTGGAACAGACCTGAGCTTGGTCCTTAATTTTGTTTTAAGCATGGTTACTTCCTCATCCTTTCCAGTGTGAAGCCATTCCTGGTGAAGACAGCAGCCTTTCAGGAGAAGCTAGTAAATGATAGCCAGACACTTCCTGTCCTAACATGTTGCTTGACCCAGGAGTGAGTAAACACTGAATCAGGACTCACAGCAAGCCAACTGGCAAAGGCATTGCTGGCACTGTGCTCAGAGCTGTGTTTACAGGAGAGGGAGAAACATGAGAGCAGGAGAAGTAAGAGTATTGCTAAACTTAGCTTGAGATGACCATTTAACACACGTAGGAAAGTACATTTTATCCTTCTGAGATGGGAAGGCAACAATTTGAGTTGTGATAGCTTCAGTAACCTGTAAGGATATGCAGCTTGTGCTACTGGGTCAGCAGTCTGCACTGATCCATCAGAGGTGCACAGAAGTGACAGTGGCTTATTGTAAGGAATGAAAATAATTATAAGGAATTATAGGGCCTTGGAAAAACTTTTAATAGAGATATTGATTAAAATAAGGAAGTTCCTGAGAAGCAGCAGGTTCCTTCCTTGAGCCACAAAGAGCACACATTTCTCAGGGTATGGTGCTCTCCACTTAGCAGATGCTGGCTAACATCTGATGCTTTATTTTTCCCCCATCTCTTTTTCTGTCGGTTTCCACTGTCAGTAACAAAAAGGTTTAATTAAAAGAAATTGCAGCACTGGAGTGGATGAAATCCACATAAAAGCTTCCAGCACCACTTTAGCATTTGCTTAACCCATCACTTTAGCAACATATCAATACCTTTGAGAGGTCCTGCTTGATGTCCACGAGAGTCATTTCCAGCTCAGAAAGGTCTGAGCAGCACTTAAAGCTCTCAGTGCAGGTCCAAAGTGGCACTTGGCAGGAAGACCGTCTGCCCTGCATGCACACCACAGCATGGTGAAGACCACAGGAAGGTGGAGCACTGCAGGGCAGCCCAAGCACTGTGCTGAGGCTGGGACAAGAGCTGCCCTGTGCCCCTGCACCAGCTGGCGGGCAGTGCCCCACAGCTGTTGTGTAGTTTCTACAGTTTTGTTCTTGTTTCAAGCTCAGATGCATTCGGCCATCCAGGCTAACAATCAATCACAGGCTAAGCATCTGTGACTTTCCCACTGCGTGCCCTTTGAACTGTGTTATTTTTAGCTCTCTCTGTATTAAACAAAAGTATGCCTGCATTTCTTCCATTAGAAGTAATTTATCTCTTCATTAGAAAAATAAATCCATCACAGCTATTGAAACTTTTTCCCAGCTGTAACACATTTAACCTGAGCATAGCTCATTTCCTAGGAGATATACGAACAGCATAACTATAAACATTAAAAATACCTGCATTATGACTGCTTTTTGCAAGGAGAGTCCTTTGTCTTTGAAGTCAACAGAAGCAGTTTCACCAGGCACATCTTGACCCATGGTGGGATTCTGATTATTTCCCTGGGTTTTTTTGAGGTCATCATAGACTACTCCAAATACAGCTACAAAATCAGCCACATCCCCTACTTTTTAACTGTAAAGGACTGTCCTGAATAAGCATGAAACTAGACAGTCTGTACACTTTCTTGCAGGAATTTGGGAAAACCAGTCCAAAGATAGTCCAGCAGAAATTATAGATCCTGTCAAGACTGTCAAGACTATCATGACATCTTCCATCCACCTCAGTCTAGGAAGGATTTGATTCGGGTTTGGGTTTGTCAGTTAAAGACTTCTCACATTTCAAGACATGCATGATCTCACCTCCCATAGACTTAACAGAACTAGAATTTCAACTAATACTTTAAATTTAAAACAGGTAACAATGGCTGCAAATTCCAAAAAATGAAAAGTGAATAACTAAAGAGGACCCTTTAGAAGACTAGAAGATAAGGGGATTGATTTGTATGTCTCAAACAACAATAGCAAGATGGCTATGGAGCCAACCAAGCATTGCTGTGGCTGAAGAAGGGGTCCATGTAGAGATAGGACAGCATTTTCTCAGACAAATGTCCTTGTTCTGTCTCCTGGAGATAAGAATAAGACAATACAGCACAAGCACAGGAATGAGTTAAGAAGCGGACGTGTACTGTAGGGTGGGATCAAGACCACCCAAGGACCCCAAAGCCCTCTGACTCATTTCCAGAAGAAAGAAGAAGAAAGAAGAAGAAAGAAGAAGAAAGAAGAAGAAAGAAGAAGAAAGAAGAAGAAGAAGTTCTAGAATAATGGACTGTACATGCTAACTCATTTTCATAGAAGTAAGAAACTTGTCTCCAGGGCAGGGAAACTTATCTATTAAAAGGTACCCCTGGAAAGCCTGTGCTCATGCACCCTAAGACCCTAAACATCCCATCAGCTGAAATGATGCTGGAGCCAGGGCTGGTGATGTCTCTTTCTTTCTCTCTTCCTTTCTCTCTCTCTTCCCTCCTTTAATCCATATCTCTCTCTCTCCTTTCCTTTTCACATTACTCCTTTATTCAAAACCCACCACTGTGTGCTTATATAAATGATCAGGGACTATAACATAGCAATTTCCATGCCAGGTGTGTAATTTACTCATAAAAATTTGTAAGGTTTTGTGGACACTTGACTTTTGTTGTTCCTTTCAGCCACAAGCATCTGCAAATCTTAGGTCTGCCCTTCCCCTTAAGTTTGGGACACCATAGACATACACCAAAAAAACCCCTGTTGGCCTAGGTGGAGTTGGATTTTAGGGGATTTTTGGTTTGGTTTGGCTTTGTCACTGAATTAAACTGAAACTGGACTAGGACTCAACTGTAGCATGACACATTGCCTTCTCTGGTAATTACTGTCCAGTGTTGGTGTTATAATGGAGGTCATCACACACAATTTGCAGATACTGGAAAATGCAAGAATTTCACAACAGGTCACATAGCACAGGCAATACTCTTGGCAAAAACAGTAATGATGAATTTAGCTAAACTTTTACACTACACTTTGGTATGTGAGTGAAGCATTACATCTACTAGAGAGTAGAACAGAAGAGTAATTTGTGACAAAAATTTAACAATTATCAACAGATAGCAGAGGACAACAGAAACAATTATTCAAACCTGAGTGTACCATTTGGTACACATGCAGTTGATCTTGGTTTGAGTGAATGAATGGGTGAATGAATGATTTCCAGTGCCAGTTTTTCAGAGGTACCTTCAAATAAAGAGGACTCACATAGAGACTACTTACCTGGCTTGGAAGACTCTCCCAAATGCTCCTTCCCCAATATCTCTCACATATTCTATATTGTTCCTGGGATACTCCAGGCTAAGCAGTTTTGGATTGAGGAGGAGGGGCATGCGCTGGTACATTGGGTTGGGGTGCAGCCGGTCCAGAAGTAGTTCAGAGGGCAGAGTAGTGAGCGTTGGTGTCTCGGAATCTCTGAAACAAGGGAGTGGTTTTTGGTCAGTGTGGGCACAGCCCTGAACCAGAACATAACTGGCTGCCTCTCCTCCTGGGCTTCTTTCTTCCAGGATGGAAAAGGAAGGTACAGCAGGGCTACTGTAAGAGCCTTGGAGAAATGTGTTGTTCTATGCTCCCAGTCACCAGGCCACCTTCAGCTCTGGCACAGGAGTTTGCCAGAACTTGAACTAGCACAGGCAAAGAGAGAGTTGCTCCCTGCTACCAGGCATCTGCAGGACTTTGCTCTCAGAAACAGGCAAACCCTGTTTCAAAGTCTTGCATTGAATTAATTCTCAAGCTTTACCTTTTTTTGGTTTTCCACTGCTTTCGATGACGGCAGCAAACCAGAGTGACAATGCCAAAGATCCCAACCAGAGCAAAGCTGGAGATAATCGAGATGATGACAGTCATGGAGTACGTAGGGGAAAAGGGAGGAGAAGGGGGGAGATTTAGAGTCTCTCCATTTGGTTTTCTTGTTCCTAGTGATAACAATGCTGTAATGCAAACAAAATCAGAGGGTTATGCCTCTGCTAGTTTATAGAGCTTTCTCAAAGAGGAATTTATGGAGTCAACCTGATGTCCTGGGAATTACTGACGCTACAGATACATCCAAATGACTGCATGAGAGAACCATACTATTGAAGCCTGGTTTGCAGGAAGCAAAACACATTTGTGCTTACCAAATGTAAAAATCCAGAATCTGGTAAAGAGCAAGACAAGGTTCCTATTAAACTGGGAACACAGTTTTGGTATGGAATGTTTGCAAGAGTTACAGATAGGAGATCACATCTGATGGTCTCAACAGTATTCAAATATAGTTATGTCTGCACTGGGAAAGATCAATGGTCTACAATGCGAACCACAATGTATCATGTGTCCTAAAGGAATCTGCAGGGAGGAGTGCAAGACCAAGTAAGTACACAGTGATACTTTCCTGAAATATCCTCTTGCCTCTAACAATTTGCATCTCAGTGTCTTTATGGGGCAAATATGAAAAAGGCACTTGGCTTTATCATTGCGGGAAAGAAATCACATAACTATCTGCTGAGTCCTTTCTGAGATGTTCTAGAAAATGCCACTCTGTACATGGCATGATAGAGAACAGAAAGAGATTTAAACTCCTCTTTTTAAGGCCCACTAACCTTAAAATTACCTATGTTCACTTATGTCCCTGAAATCCCTGTTCTCCATGCAAGAAATGTCTTATTTCCAGGCACTGAGATCCAGAAACTGTGAATCTTGGATGAAATATTTTTCAAAAATTATTCTGTTCTTTGAACAAGAAATAACATAAACAGTTTCAACATCAGAGGCAAAAGATATTTCCATCTTTTACAGACTTTTTTTTAGTTAAAATTGGTTTATATTATTGAAAAAAAAAAATCACCCAAAATAAAACAACTTTGAAAAATAGACCAAAATCCCACCTTCAAAACACAGTGTGGCCAATCCGTTTTTCAGAATACCACATATTCCATCCTTTGCCATCTATATAATCCAGGGCAAGGTGTTCAATATCCCTGTCTTCATTTCTCCCTCTTTAAGGGGCACATTATACCTTCTGGTCAAAGATCCTGAGTGAATCTTTGAGGAGACCCAGAACCAGCTGAATCCAGACGGCAGAATGTATCGGTATACTAAGGGCGTAGACACCTTGCCTGGCCCCGAAACAACCACAGTGGCAGAAATCATAAATTTGAGTTGCCTACCATCTCCACAGGGAGACACGCTGCAGTATTCCCAGGTCACGGCTGGGTCCTTTGTGTAGCACCAGGGACGTTCATTCTCACCTCCTGGATTGCGGCAGTAATTCTCAGCATCAGACAGCTCAGGAAAAACCTGAGGAGTCCTCCTGTGCAAGTGGGGAGCCTTGGGGGAGGAAGCAGATTGGATTAGTGTTTAACTATAATTTTTCCTGCTGTATTTGTAAAATATGAGGAAATAAAACAAATGAGTGAAGACAGGCAGAGTTTTTCTTGAAACAGCCTGCCAGAATGACAGAGAATGCATTTTGGCACAGGAAGGGGAACATGCAGATTGAAATATGATGAGGTTGTGAAACATCAGTGAACTCAAGAAGGAAGGCAACCTGTCCCCTGCTCAGCTCTTCCACTGAAACTGGGCTGCCTGGCTCTGGGAAACATGTTGGAAAAGCAGACCTTGAGCACAGCTCTCAGTTTGGTGGATCTCACACCAGTGGGTACCTGGTCACTCCACTTCTGGCAGGGAATGCCGGAGGCCGTGATGTTGGCCCAGCCCTGGTAAAACTGGCCATTGCCACTGTAGCAAGTCCCTGGGAGGAGAAAAAATAACAAAAAACATGGGGTCAAGGACTCACAAGAATAAATTTCATGTCCTTACATGAGAGCATGTGACAATTAGTATCAGATCTAAGCATATAACAGGACAAGACAACTGCAGGCTCAGCACTGCTTAGCCTCTTGTTTACACTTAAATGGATTTTGAGCTCAAGATCAAATCTGGTAAAACTTGAAAGAGGGAACTGGAACTCTTTCAGATTGAGAAAATAGGCCATATGCCTGTGATGGTTAAGCTGCAGCTACCTAATGCACAGCACTTGCATGCAGAAAGTGCAGGCAGAACCACACTGAACCCACCCATGCATGTCAAACCAAGGCAGAAGGCAAACTGCAGCACTAGTTCCTTGACTGACAGCCTACACTCTTGGAGAGGCACTACGAATAGGAATACGTTCATGTTCCTCATGTAGATAGCAGAGGGCTGGGTTCATAAAGTCCCATGGTGGTATCCCTCCCCGTGCTTCTGAACAGTGCTTGTCCTCTTTGAATATATGGAGACAACCTATGGTTTCCAGCATATGTGGAAACCATACACTGAAGGCAACTATAATGTGAAAGAATAGGATCAGTATAAAAACAGTGTTCTTTCTAATGAAGAATGTGTAGCTCACTTTCCATATACAAGGCTTGTTCCAGCTGCAGAAAGAATAGGCAGAAAATCTTGAGAAGATTTTACTACAGGAATATGGATAAATTTTGATGCCACATGTCTTCATATGAGAATTTAATGCATTCTGGCATAATCTAAGAAGCAGAAGGACAGCATACGAGATGCAGCCTTACACACTTCAACACATGGTAATCTTTTGTAAACTTGGCTGAGCAGGGGCCAGCATTCTGATTGATGGCATGCATTAGAGTCCACTGCATTATTAACCTAATTAGACAAATTAACAAGTCAGCAAATACTGTTGCCATTATTTTATTTTCTATTATGTTCATAAAATTGCAGCTCGGGAAGAAAAGAAAAGCAAGAATAAAACTGATGTGTTCTAAAATAATGATTTTAAGCAAATATTTTTCAGTTTCATGAAAGCTCTTTTTAAATTTTCATCCAAATTTGAGACAAGGCTGTGTGTTTTAACTTATCCTTCTAGGCTGTCCTGTTTCTCCTGTAGGAGAACCACAGTCAGTGCACTATGATGACTATCTGCTCTTTTCTTGTTGCATCACCCACTGCACTCAGGATTGCAGTTATATTTTGTTTTAGACCCTTAGCTTTCTGAAGTTTCAGCAGGCATCAGGCACTACACATGAGTAGGTAGAAAAACCACCATTAAAGTGTTTGCTCCAGGTGAGTGAGCTTAAACAAAGGATCAGATTCCTGTAACCCAAGACATCCAAACATCCCAGTATAGGAATGACTGTGGACTTCATGAGAACATAAACCCATCACAAATACAAAGCAAAATGTTCTAACCTGGACTTCTTTGACTGATATGTAAATAACATTTATGGCTCACATCTGCAGCAAGCTAGCAGCCCCCAGATGACATAGCTCAGCAGAGGTGTAAAATCTTATTAAGCTGCCCTGGTACATACTTGTGTGCCTGAGCCCAGCATTTTACATGTCTCACATTCAAAGGAAAGGAAAGCAATGCCTGGAACATGCCTCATGATGAACATGAAAAAGATTTCTGCACAGATCTGAAATAAATGTCAGTGTGACACCTTAGGGGATCAATGTGGAGAGTTTTAGGGGTAAAAACACCGCTGAGGAAGCACCTCTGAGTCCTTTGTACTCTGGAAAATGCAGATGCTTTCATAGATGCTGCAGTAAGGACAGGGGGTATAATAAAGGTGGCCCATGTGAGTTATAATGAATAATTTGATGGCAATCTAGAAGACAGTTTGGTTCATGTTTCCCAAATCCTTGTGCACAGAACAGAGGCTCTAAAGTAAAAAAGAGGGGGCAATTACTAAAATGTTACTATTATGTCTTCCTGATTCATGACTGAATATTGAAATCTGTGCATTGCCACTCTGGGAAAATACTGTGAAAGCTGAACAAAAAGGTTATGGTTTACACAGGAGACAGAAGCTATGTCCCGAACTTGCAAACATCTCAGGGGAGGCTGAAACTACCCCATGAATGCACCACTCATTTGCTGGCACCCCTATCTTGAGGTCCTTGCACCAGAGAGGGGATGGTGCACCTGAAGGCTGTAGGCAATGGGCAGCACCGATGGAGAGATTCTTCTTTTTTTTCCAATGGGACAAATTCAGTGGCTGAGCTTGAAACTGCAGTTGCATGTCAGTGGAATTGCACATGTAGGTGTGTGTTTCAGCCATGACCAGCAGCAGGGTGGGAGGCTGACAGAAGTTTTAGCAGCACCACAGGAGATGTCTGGGTCTCACCATTGGTCGTGGGGGGGGTCACAGGAGAAACAGCCAGACTTTAGAGGTGATTTGAGGAGAAGGTTGGGATCTTTTGGGTAATAAGGTTTTGCAAGGCCAGCCTGACATAGGAAACCCCATGGGTAACAGCATAGAAGGCTAGGATTACCTCAGCAGCAGTATCAGAAATACCAAATACGGGTAAAGCAGAACTAGAAGCAATTGGTAGAGAGAAAAGGAAACAGCTGGAGCGGAATGTACCACCTAAAACCACCATTCCACTCCCACCGTCTTCAAAAGTTACCAGCCCCTATTCTCCCCAGCCTTGGAAGAGCCAAAAATGTGTTTCCTCATGCCTTGGATGTGGAAACTCAGACATTGCCTGGTAATCACCTAAATTCAGCCAGCCAGACCAGAGGAAAACACAGAATCACTATGCAAACTGCATATTCAGTGAAGAATGTCATGTCTACCTTTAACAATACAGAGCCTGGAGCAGTCTACTTACTTGTTATATTCTCCTTCTTAAAATCTGTAAAAAGACAAGACAAGATGTAAGGAGGGATTGTTCAGGATGCTTACGTAGGAGCATATTATAGGAAAAAGTTCTTACCCTAGCAGTGCTTAAAGAGCTTCTTTCTTTGCAAAGACTGTTTTATGAAATTTTTATGATCTTCTCAATAAGGATTTAGGCTTTATTTACTCAAGAGGTTTTTCCTACTCCCCAGTTTGGATGAGACAGGCAAACACCCAATGCAGCTGCCACAATTCTTCGCACGGGTGCTGACAGGATGGTTCCCATCATTTGCTTTTACTTTAGCTGTAAGTTATGGACCTCATCCTTCCCCCCTCCCTTACCAAGAACATGGGTCTCTGGACAGTGGGCAGCATGTGCCACCTTACCAAAGAAAGGGATGTGTATGCAGGAGCTGGGGTCCTCATGCAGGCTGGGCAGCCTGTTGCATTCGGGAAGAGTGAGCAACATCAGCCCTGGCTTGTAAATCCCCTTCTGAGAGTTTTCCTCCATTGAGAGCCATTCCTTAAAGCAGTAGAGATCCTTTACAGCAAGGCAATTCTCTCTACATTATTTTGCAAAAAACAGTGAAATACAGCAGTCAATGGCTTGATAACAATACCTGCACTTAGCAGGGATGTGCAGGGGTTATGAAGGCTGACAGAAATCCATTAATGGAGTCACATTTCTTTAAAGCCAGTCTGTCTGGCTCATAAACCATAAGGGAAACTGTATGAAATGTAATAGCTTCCTTTAGGAAACAAACAAAACTACATTTTTAATAAACCAGGGTTATGCTCAAGACACGACAAGCATCACAGTCTGTGAGGAGTTCATTCTCATCTTTTCCTACAGATTTTTTGATGTTGTTTACCAATGAACATCAGAGAATAATACAATGGTTTGGGTTGGAATACACCTCAAAGATCATTTAGTTTCAATCCCCCTGCCATAGGCAGGGACACCTGCCATTAGAACAGATTGCTCTAAGCCCCATCCAAGCTGGCCTTGGATACTCCCAGGGATGAGGCATCCACAACTTCTCTGGGCAACACCACAGTTGCAATGAAGAATTTCTACATAATACCTAGTCCAAACCTACTCTCTTTCAGTTTGAAGGCATTCCCCTTTGTTCTGTCATTACTTGCTCCTGCAAATAGCCTCTCACATGTCTGAAGTTAGAAATTTTCAGTAGATTTTGAAAATCTCACCTTTCTCTAAATTAATATGTCATCTATTAAAAGCAAGAGATGAGCTGCAATTCTTTATCTTCGTAAATTAAATATTTGCCTGTATTTTTAATGTCACAAAATCACTCATTCAATTATCTTCTTTCCTCCACAGACAACTTTCTCTTTCAGTTGTTTGCAGCAAAAGTTTTAGAATGCCTGGCAAAAAAAGAGACTTGTCTCTGTATTACCTCCAAACCAATATGAAACATTCACTGACAAGAAGTGCTTTTTTGTTTAAATGGGCCTTAGATGAAAAACTGTTTGTGAAGAGGGGCAAAGCAAAAATATCTGCTCTAGGGAAAAAAAGGGAAAAGGGAAAAAAAGGGGAGAGGAGAGGGAGAGGAGAGGGGATAAAAATACACTGTACTGGAAAGTTTGTGGACTTGTTGTATTGTTGAATTTATCACTCATTTGCTTATTTATGTAGCCATTCTTGAGAGCCTGAGTTGCAAAACCAGCTGAAGTCCTTCACAGATCCACAATTTTCCAACCATCACACAGTGACTCAGAAAGGCAAAAAGAAGGTGCTGCTGGGGTCCATGGGGAAGGATTTAGCCAAATTCATCACCTGATGCAATCTGTTTAATTATACAACACTTTTGGCAAGAGCAGATGGCCATGACATTTGATAATGACTATCAACGCTCCAAATACTCTAAAGGACCTGAAGGATGCAAGTCATTAGGAATTCTACCAGGGCAACAGCATTTGTGCAACAGTAATGGATGCCCTTCAAGTCTGCAGGCTGAAGCCATCAAAGACCAGTTGCTCTTTGCTTGGTTTTAACCTTCCTGGTTTATTCCTTCCTCACTTCATGGAAACCAGAATGCAGCCAGATGGCATAATTTATCTTTTTTATGTTAAACAACACATGGAACAGGAATGACCTTCTGAAATAAAGAAATGCTTAGATAGGGAAATGAGAAAAACTTGCATTTGAAGTGCTAGCTGAGACTTGGGAGATCTGGGTTGAATTAGCATCCTTAAATAAAAGCCTTTTATTCGGTGTTCAGTTGCAAAACACGAAAGACCCTTCCTCTGCAATGTTGTCTGCTCCAGCATTAAAGGGATGTTATCTTTACCACAAACCCACCCTGCATGCATGGTAAGGCAGCCAGAGGGTGTGATGGTCAGTCTCCTCTAGCTGGGTTCATACCATTGTTGTAACACTTGATGCTGAGCAGTGAGAGCTTGATGAGATCATATGCAAAGATTACTTCAGATTATTATTAGAAATTTTATGTCATGTAAATGACAGATGGACAAAGAACAGTAATGGCAGAAGAGAACAAGTTTGCCAGTAGTGTTTTTAAGAACCACAAGAGACTTTTTAAGAGGAGATGGGGACACTTAGGCCCAAACAAAGCAAGACATTTTCCAACTCAAAACTGTTCCCTGCAGCCTTGTCACTTCATATCAGCAGTGACTGAAATGGAAATTGAGGATGTTTCTTTTGCTGTCACAATAGCAGCCAGTGGCAAAAGGCAGATGTAATCAAGAATTATTAAATGACACATCACTTTTCTTAAAAACTCTCATTTTAATCGATTTGCATCTTAATTTACATGAAGTGAAACGTTCCCTATGTTGCTTTTTTCTGTTTCATTTCATATTGTTTTACCCCCTGATCACTTTTATAAAAGCTTTACTTAGTCTTATAAGTTGTTATTCTGGCTAGATAGCTTCCAAACCAAAACGAACATTAAAAAAAAAAAAAAAATTGCATGGAGTGAGAAAAACTGGTGCAGAGAATAAATAACAAGACAAAACTACATGAAAATATGTCAAGGGGAAAAAGTCCCTCAAATTGGGAGAATTCTCCCACCTCTGAGATGGTTAAATTTTTACTCATGATAGTAATTCAGCTGAAAACCTGTGTAGTCTAGCCAGTTTCTGCAGAGAGGTATGAAGTTGTCGGTAAGAAGTAATCAAGATAATTGGAAAGTAACCAAGACCATGTGAGATGTGTTAAAATGCTCCCACACCCCTCTCAGCAGTTCAGAAGTACATATTAGATGTCTGAGTTTTCAAAAGGAGTGTTGGGCTAGGGCTTTGGAAGAGCTGCTGTCCAGCTGATGTGCTCTGGGAACAACAATTGGGAAGGATGCTGTTACAGGGCTTTTGTTATGAAGAAAGCTGACTTAAAATTGGGGGAGAGGGGATGGGGAGCAGGGAGGAGGGGGTAATAATCAAAAAACCCCAATATTGACTCATGGATTTGAAAAAGGATGATGCCAGGCAAATCCATTAACATTTAGACATATTTGCAAATGCTGTACCTGTTAGCTCAAGATCAAGTGCAGATTTATGTGATTTATATCACCTGATTTATATCGACTGCCCCAGAATTGCAAGCCTTCAGTCACTCACCATGAGTTCTGGTCCTGCAGGGCCATGGTTGAGTAGGGGTAAATGAAGCAAGGCCCAGAACTAACTGAAATGCTTTGTGGAGCACCGTGCAAAATCCTTAGCTGACTAATGTGCCATACATGTGTGTCTGAAATATAAATACTGACACACATCTTGAAAAAAGGCACAGAGATCACGTACTTAAGGGCACAATGACAAAGAGCAGAATAGTGAGGTGGCAGGGAGAAGGCTGCCAGCAAAAAGCAAGTTTCAGTACTTGGCTGCATGATTACCTGTGGATATTTGCAAAACACTTTTTTTGTAGCGTATATGCCACCACTGTGTTGATGGTGGAATACTGAACATCATAGGTACTAAATAGAAAACTGAATGTATAGTCAAGCTGCATACTGGGGTTTTCCTCTGTGCCTTTCTTTTAGAGATATTAAAGTAGGAGAAAGCAGTAAGGTCCAGATTACAAAAATAATGTGCTGCTATTGCCCTGAAAAGCCCCTACAAAACTGGAAAAATTACCTCCAGTAGACCATATCTAGCCCCAATCCAGCTGGCACTGTGCTTGCCATGTCTGCAGGGAAGACTCATATTTTAGTTGAGACAGTAGAGCTGGGGCTGCTCTTTCGATAAACACAAACCTGAATAAAGTTTTTAAAAGTGTTTCAAGGAAGATGAGAACAAAGCACTGCACTTCAGGCAAGGATGTCAGTTGCCCAAATGTGAAATGGGTAATGACTAGTCCTCCAGGGGGTGAATATGCTATGAAAAAAAAGAAAGCTTCATCCTGATATATCTGTGAGGGACTGTCCTTGGCAAGACATAACAAGCAATCATAATTCCATTATAGTTAGCAGTAACAGAACTTAGACCTGGCCAGAAAAGCAAGAGCTATGTGCAGAGCTTGGAAAAATCTGGTTTATTCCAGTCAGAGAAGATGGGGAAGATTTAAAATCTCACTGCGAAGAGGAAGGGAAGAAACTTGCCTCCATGGCCATGGTGGGAGGATAAGGAATGAGGGAAGGACTGCTCAGGAGGTTGCACGGGGAGAGAGCAGTGCCTCTACCACTGGCATATGTGCACAAATACCTGTCAGCAGTGGATTAGTGAGAGATGCTTTGGACTCCTCGGGGTCCCTGTCAGCCCAGTTTCAATGGACATTGCTCTGCATATGGAAGGATACAAGAGCCAGATTGGAGTTTTGGTTTAGCAGGTACAATTACAGTGTCAGTGTCTCTGATGCTGTTGTTTTTTGTTTAATTTTTGTCTTAGTGGAAAGTGCTAAATGATTGCCTTGGCCAGATTTATTGCATACTCTGGGGCTGTATTTAGTCAAAGTTCCAAATAAACAATTACTTTTGATAGTAATAATAAGTACAGACTGACATAGGAAGATTTAACTGATAACAATATGAAACCAACTGTGTAATTCAAATGGATACTTCTTTTCAGCACTGTCCACTAAATGCCTGATGTAATATAAAGGTTGGGCAAGGAATTCAGTCCATGCCCTAGCAATGAGCACAGAGAGGGCTGAATCTGTCACATCTGGGTGTACAGAGAAGAGCACAAAGGGAAAACCTATGCAAACCTAGAGGGCCTAACTTCACTTAATGCTACCGCAAGCCTGGACAGTCCCTCACCACTCCACAGCTGCCTACACATCCCCATGAAATGAAAGTGAAATATGAGCATTTTTTTCTTCATTTACCTGCACACTGGTTTTGGAGCTGGCCCAGCTCCGGAGGGATTGCACTCCTGGAAGATGTAGTTACACAGCAGAGACTCAGCAGCCGGTTGGCAGAATGAACTCACCATTTTCAGTTCAGTCCAGGCAGTGTGCACAAGCAGCTCTTGGGTCTCCTCTGGGTCAGCATAGGAGGAGTTGAAGAAAACAAGAGCATTCTTCGCCAAGATAGCACTGCACACCTCACCTCTGTAAGTGCTGCAGTAACCTGCATCACCCTTGTACAGCTTGCTGTTGAGGACAAGAGCACACACACACAGAGTAAGCTCACAGCCCTGAATAGCTGCAGGCTCACAGTGCCTAGGCTCTGTTTCTGAATAAAGTGGAATGTCTAAGGCTAACAGAGGGCAGAGGAGATAGTAGATGGTTATAACCACTAAAACCAGCTAATATATTCCAAAAGTGAAACTTCTGCAAAGTACCCTGGTGTGAGCCCTAGTGAGCTCCAGAGATGAGGATCTGCCAAGTGCTGTGAACATTATACATGGGCAAAAGACCGAGCAGTCAAACACCACCATGACCCAGCGTGGCCCCTCACCCTCTCCCTAAGCTCTATGGGAAAACATTTTAATTTCCCTGCAGTAGGCATCAGCCATGCTGCTTCTGCAGCCCTGTTATAACTCGGGGTTTTTTGCTCTGCTGTCTAACAACTGTTTAATTTAGGATGGACTTGATGAGCAAGAGCCAGATAAGTCCAACCCAACACGTGCCAGGGAATTTTTCACAAGGTCAGACCAAACTCCTGCCTGCCCCTCCTCATCTCCTGCATCTCTCCTGACTCTGTCTCACTTCCACACATATTTAGGTGGGAGACACAGAGAGAAGGAAGGCACAAGCCTCTGAATTTTTCTTCCTGGTTCTTTCCTGCAAGGTCCATCTGCTCCTCTCCTAACCATATCTCCCACTTTGCAAACCCCTGCCACAAAGGATGGAGACAAAGCTATGGGGTAGCAATAAAAAGCACAGTAGGCCCAGCTCATTTGAGGGCCATTTATTTATCTTTCCTGTGATTTTTGCGTCTGGTAGGAGATCCCTCCCTTCTTCCCCACAGCCATCAAAAGGGAGCAGCAGGGCAGGGGGAGTGCACAGGTCAGCTGTAGCTGTAGCTCCCACAGTCACCCAGCAGTGGCAAGCTCTGTGGGTGGGGAGGTGCCCTCTCTGCCTAGGCAGCCCGTGGGATGCAGTGCCCTTGGTGTGGGAGGGAAAGCTGGGACAACAGACTCCCTGTGTGTGGGGGATGGCCAAACTGGGGAGGGAGGAGGGCGGGGTGCAGCTGTCCCCACTGCTCATTCGGTCACCGTAACTGGGGTCAGGGAGTTCAATTCACAACATGCCAACCATTTGGAGCAGTCAACAGAGCTATTTGTATCTTTGCCTTGTATTTCTTTCCTCTGTCCAAATAATCACCCATTGTTAACTCCAGGGTTTCTTGCTGTTTTTTCTTCAGAAAGCTGGAGGTACATGGACAAGGGATTACACAGCATTCTCACATTTCTCCTTTTCAAATGCTGCCCTTTGCAGATGACACTCTCTGGCCCTGTTTTAGCTGCTCTGCTTTGGATTCCATGTGAATTTTTTTTTAAATTATATTTTCTTCTATTTTGTGTTGGCTAAAAAATACGGGAAGGCACCAACCCCTTGAGGTATTACCAAAATGGCAGTGATGCTGTGACACCCTGCATCATCCCAGGCTCCATGGACACACCTGCATGTGACACAAGTGTCCCACAGCATGCAGTTTCACAGCCCATGACATCACCCTGGCATACAGCATGTTGCCCCAAAGTAATTCACTGCGCCCAGCACCCTGTTAGAACTGATCTGGTTCTAGCGTGGTTGGCATGCAGGGTTCATGTTATTTACAGTTTTCTGATGATACCCATTGTGCTTAATCTGAAAGTTGTGACCTTCTTGTGTCCAAGAGGCAAAAGCATGGGCAGGCGTGCATGGGGCTGCTGTGCTGCTGACTGTGGGCTGCAGAAGCTGCCTGACAAGAGCTCTCAGTGCTTGGGCTGTTTCCTTGCTAGTCTAAAACATTCAGGGAGACACAGACCATGCTGCAATCGAGAAGAGGCAACAATGTGTTTCTCACATTGCCCTGTCACAGAAAGGGAATTTCATGCAGCAAATGTTGAGAACTTCTGTGGGACAGAAGAGGTGAGCATTTGATCACTGTTCCCATGCCTGTCACACCTTTGCAGGTGCAGGTGTAAGGCACAGGTCTGCCATCATCACTGGTGGCCACTTAATCACTCACAGACTTCCTGAACCAATCTAGCAAGCCCATGTGGTGGAGGCAATGGCCCTTGCAGGGAGTCTGTGTCAGCAGACTTGCAAAGCCATTTGCTCAGAATTTCTCAGGCTCTGCTAATTCCTCTGAGGGCCAGAAGCTCCCAGCCCGCCTTCCAGGCTAACCCTCCCATTTTCCTTCCAGAGCAATCTGCCAGTGCAGCATGTAGAAACAGGGTAAAATCAAAAATCCAGCTAAATTGTTCAGTACTTCAAAAATCACTACACAGAGGTGCATTTCTCATCACGCATAAGTGGATTTACCATCCATAACTGCTTGGAACCAATTTAAACTTCTCTTGCCCTAACCTGGTCCTCACCAAACCAAATTATATTTACTGACTGTACCTAGGCAGGAGTTTAACTTGCAGTTAAGCTTTGCCATGTAAATTTATAAGGTCAAGTAAAGTTGTGGATCTGTAACTGTGAACAGAATTTACTACAAAATATTCTGCCTATTACCATATTTCAAACACCCTTACTGTTGTGTGATCCACTGCTTGCTTGATACAAAATCATCCTTATCTACCTTAGCTCAGTCTCCAATTATGTCCTCCGCAAAGGAGCTCAGCGTTCCCTTCAGGTGAACCTCATCTGCATGACTGGCATCCAAAAACCCTCTCCCTTCATTTAAGCCAAACTAACCAAATCCCCTTGGTTCATCATTCTTCTTCTCACTGGTCCAGAAAAAACCTCCATAAAGCCACAGAAAGTCATTCTTACCTCCACTCTGCCAAGACGCACCAAATCCGGGAATTGTGATGAACCAGGAGAAAGAAGAAATGGAAAAGACATCAGTGACACTTCAGTGGCACTTCACTGCTCCCTCTGAGATATGTGAGTTAAGATTTCCATGACAGGAAATCTGTCTGAGAACCGTAAGCTGTCTGAAAAAGGATGCATCTAAATTCTATCCTTTTTTTTTGTACCTTCTTATGGGGAAGAAATGTTGGGCAACACTGGACACTATAAAGAGAGAGGGAATGAGGAGGAGGAAGTGCATTGTTGACTGCAGTGCTGGCTGAAGTGGACTGTTGCACTCTAAACCCATATTTTTTCTAATCCTTTGGATCCTATATAACTAGCAGATAGCACCTTCTGTTTAAATCACCCATGTACTCATTACTTCAGGCAGCAGCTGTAACAGGCAGGAGAAACTAGGGCTGGAAATGCAGCACTGTCACATGGTGGTGCCCCCAGCTTGCGAGTGCCACAGGCAGCTGGGCTGTGTCAGCACAGGGAGGAGATACTGAGCATCAGCCAAGGACCAGGACACTTCTGCCCTGGGACCCTTGTGAGATGGGACAAGGCTGAGACAGACTCCTGCTCAGGTCTAGGGGGCTGTTCCCCAGCTGCTGAACACAGACAGCCCAGAGGAGAGCAATGCAACTTCTCCTGTCAGCCCAAAGCACCTGCCCTTCCCACTCTATTTGTAGCTTTGCTTTGTGGGACAAAGACTTGCCTGGGTTAAAAGCAGAAGTTGAAAAATACAAACAGATACAGTTAAAAAATAAAAAAATACAGAAGCTGTGAAATACAGCACCGAGTGCTGAGTCTCTTACAGGGCAGAGCTCGCTGCTAGGTTTCAATGCCCAGTGTAAGAAAGGGCATGGTTATTTTCTCAACAAAGAAGCAGCTCGGGCACAGAGAGCGGAACAGGTGCATGCCTGATTAAAAGAAGGACCAGGGCTATCATCCCATGTCCTGTGGGATTGCTCTTTCCTCTAACTATACCTCCCTGACTGTCCAAAGAGGGAAGGCACAAGATGCCACCTTTTTCTTTGTGTGCCAAATGTTGTTAGCCAGCTCTGACCTTTGGTATTTTTTCCCTTTGGAACATCCTTTTCACATTTAGGAGATATCTCTGGAAGCAGAGATTACTTCAGGCATGGCGGGATACTACTCTGACAGCAACCTCCCTGCTTTCTGGATGCAACCCCCTGTGAAGTTAAACTGTTCAAAGCTATTTTCACTTTGCTGTTAGGTGATACCAATGCTGGGTCATGGCCACGACTTCCTTCACATGGATGAATTTACCAAGTGCACTTCTGGGACACAAAGTACAAGACAGCATCAAACATTCAGGAAATGACAGCTGTGGCAGTCTCCAAAGTGTAAGAATATATGAGGAAATAGCCTAGTGGGGGATGCACTTGTACTCAAATTTAAGCCCGTGCACGCCATCAGCTCTCCAAGGCTTTCCCTCTTCCTCCTGAGTACTTCACGCCCCTTTCTTCTCTCCCAGCAGAAAAGCTAAGACTGTGATTGCAAGAGTAAAAAATTAATGACCCCTTCACTCCCTGCCTACCTGAAATGCTGATGGTTGCTGCTGCTTTTGCAGCTCCGAAAGTTTTGCTGTGTTTGTTCGTGGCGAGGCAAGTGAACAGGCCAGGTCGGGTGACATACACCTGCAGTCTGGAATCAACCACTCTGTCCTTGACACTTTCCATTACAGACCCTGCAGAAACCTAAAAGAGTGGAAAGCCCAGTGCAGTGATATTTCCAACAAAGGGACAAACAAGCAAACTAAGATAAAATCTAAGAGCTACAGCCCCAAGCATTTAAATTAGCGGAGAAAGATGTGGCAAACAGATGAAGGTGGCAGAGAGCTAAAGCTGCTGGGTTTACTTCCATGCTTTCATAGCAGCTGACTTCACAGACAAAAGTAAATGTTAAAGGTCTCTCCTATTTCACACTTCTGCAATATTTTTGCAATTAGTTGTCAGTTCCAGAGGGCCGTAGTCACAATTTGGCTCATGTAATTTATCTGGCTAATTACTCCAGGACTTCTTGTAGTAGGTTATTTGCCTCTTCATGCCTTAGCAAGGAAGGGCACGAGGTGACTTTGCGGACATCCGGTATATAGAGGAAGAAAAGAAAATAGTTTGGAAGTCATTGATTCTGGATTAATATAACTACTGCCACACTCTCGAAGTAGTCATGAGCAAAGAAGGCACTCTGGCTCCAACACTTCTGCAAATATCTGGTAGGTTTTTTTGCCTCACAACTGGAAATATGGAAGGGGCTGCAAATGTGGTGATTTTGGCCAGATCAGAAATTCCCAGGTAAATGAGGTTAGAGCTTGCCAATTTTGGTCAGTTGGGCTTGATTTTATCAAGTCTTTCCTGCTCATATGGAATTCATTAAAGTAGGAGGGCATAGTACATCAACCTTGCAAGGGCAATAGAAAGGAGCAGCATTGCCTGCTTTAATCTTCATACTGAGAGGAAGCATCAAATGTAATTCAAGTGAGATGTGATTGATTGTGGATCCCAGAGGTGTTACCTGACTCTAAGAACAGTGATAATTGTCTCCCTGGATCCATCTCAGCAAAGCACTCTACCTATGCATCTAATTGAGAAGACAGAGATATCAATCTGACTCTCAGAGGGTTAGTAGAAATGTGCTTTCAATGAGATCTTTCAATGAGATGAAATACCCATATGTATTAACAGCTGTAATTGAAAAAGCAAGAAGGAACACGTCAGTGCTGTATCACATCTTATATAAGCAGGTTGGATCCTCTCTGAAAAGAAAATGATGAAAAGTATATATTTGTTTTGCCTCGCTCAAGTTAACCTTGGAGTTGTGGTAAGAGAATGTGCATGGGAAGAAATCACTAAATAACCAGAACTGTTTGTAAGTGTTGCACCAGGTATGCCAGTCACTGTGCTAATACAGTGGCCAGGGATGTTTTTACCCTTATACTATGAAATCCATTCAAGTGGGTGGAAACTCAAGGGATATTTTTCACAATGATCTCTTTTATTACAGTGCTGGTCAGATTTAGTTTTAGAATCTTTTTCTCTCCAAAAACCACTCAGCACCATAATAACGTGGAGACCTTCCCAGCAGAAAAGGAGAATTTCTTATAGGCTGCCCCTGCCTCCCATCATACAGCTGGGATTTGTGGCTGCTTGCTCTGAGCAGCTTTTGCTGATCCAGTCTTCTCTCCCTCCTTGCCCTTCAGGCCTTGGGTGTACCATGTCTGGCAGCATTGGACTGTGCCTGGTGAGCACAGGGAACTGGGATTTTTCATTCCGGCTTGGACACAGAAGAAAGAGGTTGCTCAGGTAACTGCAAGCAGTATGAGCAGTATGCACCATGTACCATGGAAAATGGTACGGGTGAACATGTGGGGTAGTGGTGCCTAGGACTTCCACACTGGCCAACTGTGGTTTTCTCTACTGGGAACCTCAAGATATAGACTTGTGTTAATTGATTCCCTTCCCTTTTCAAATACATTTCTTGAGAAATTTCCTAACAGGTCTCTTTTTAGCCCTTAAAATACCACCTCAGCCACGACCAAACCAGAGACTTCTTCACATCTTCACATCTGGTTCAGTTATTCTTTGGAGTGTGGAAAACCAAATTATAAGGCCCATGATGCCCTTTGGTGCGTAGCAAGAGGAAAATTAACTGTGTTTCTATTTAGGTAGTCAAGGCAGCTGCTGCACAGAGGAGTTTCCATCCTTCTCTTCAAGGGCAGTTCAATAAGTTCAGCAAGAATCCCATTCTTTAAGCCTCAGGACAATTACAGGTCAGTGTTCAGAGACCATAATGCCACAGGAATGCTGCATCTCCTAATGTTGTTGTGAACCAGCCTTCAAATGCACTATCACCACTCCACCCACTTCCTGCTGATTTTCCCAGAAACAGGCTCTCATTAAGGTCTCCACGCCATATTTAAAATGAGGCAATTTGGACCACTGCCGTCCTGGGACTGGGACCCATCCTCTCTTTGAAGAGCAGGGATGGGGCAGAGCAGATGTGACCAGCCAGGCAGTGGCCCCAGGCAGGGACTGAACATCATCTCACACACAGAGATCCATGAACATACAGGCATCTTGGCAGAGCACAGGTCTGTGCTCTGGAAATACTCTCCCCCTGCCAAACCCCTGCCAAAGGTTCCAACCCCAATGGGGAAGAAGTCAAATAAACACTTGCAGTTGTCTCAAAAATTAATACTGTCAGAAATCATGTCAGAAACCACTGAGGATCCACAAGTCTCTGCAGAGGCGGATCTGATCCCTTTGCTGTTCTCCTACCACCCTTGAGGGACTATTAGCCCTAATCAGACTAGAGGACACCATAAAGTTTAGAGGGGGTAAGGAAGGCAAAACAGCCTGCTAAGTAACCCAGGGGCCTTAATAACATATTTTAATACATGGGAAGAAGAGATACAGACCAGGATGGTGATAGCCCCCTGAAGTAAGGAATTTGAACACAAGAATTTATTGGTCCTGTTGGACAAGCAAGTCCACAGGAATGGTCATGACCTGCCTGTGGTCAGAAGGACAGGGGGTCAGTGAGAAAGGGAGGATGCAAATTGCCAGCCTGCGGTCAGAGGATGCTCCACGTGCCTCCACAGCATCGCACCCTGGGGCTCACATTCTTAAAAAAGCTGTTGAAAGACCACAGAGAGTATAAAACGTGTTCACCCTAACCATATGAAGACTAGAGGAAACCCGTGGCAGGCTCAGGCTTCAGAGCTGCTGTGACTGTGGTGCACTGCTCACTCCTGCAGAGGTACTATTGGATGTCAAGCAGCTCTTCAGCTCAGCTGAAGTGAAGACATTGCAATAGCCTACACACAGGCATGAAAGCCCATACAAATTCAAAGCAAGCACCTATTTTAAATGGTCAGGATCATTAATCACAGAACAATTTCCTGTGAGATATAGGGGGTTTGCATCTCTTGGTGCCTGCCACTGAAGGAATGTGCCTTTTTTGATGACACGGTTCTAGCCAGTAACAAATTGGTGACATACTTCTTTGCATCACCTAGGTCAGTCTAGAACATTTCATGTCTATTCTCTTCTGCAAATATGCTGTGGAAACATGGGTATTTTGCTCCGTGACAGTTGGCCCTATCTAACTCCTTGGGGTTTGTTATTTTGTAAAATGAGCAATTTTGCCATATTTTTGTTACCACATTAGAAGAAAAGAAAGGGAAGATAGCTGCAGGTACACTTAAACCCACAATAAAGTCCTAGAAACCCTGGCTTGGAGGAAGTTTGAAAGGGTCTAAAGCACCCTCCAGCTTGAGCTTTCCAGATCCTAACAAATTCACTCATGCAACACCCTGGAGAAGGGGAAGAGCGTTTTTCAGAGGAGAAAACTGCAGGAGAGAGGTGAGGTGCAATCAGATTGCACAACAAGGTGCTAAGCAAGGCAGGAATAGAAACCACTGGTGCTGGCTCACAACCTGCATTTTAATCCCTGGGCTGGGCTTCTGTCTGCTAGCAGGCCTCTAGGGCCAAAAGCATGCAAAAGAGGCACTTACAGCTTTCCCATTTTCCAGCCAGGTGACAGTAGGGACTGGAAGGCCGGTTGCTGTGCACCGCAAGGTCACCACAGAACCAAAGGTGATATTTTGGGATTCGGGAGCCTTCAGGATTCTGGCAAACACTGCAAGAGAAGACAAAGGTGCTAGTTGAACAGTAATGTAAAGCTGACGATGGTGCTGGCATTGGGGTGCTCCCTCCCCAGTATGTCTTGATATAAGCCTCAGCTCCATGAGCAAAAGAAAAGAATAGCATAAACTTCCCAGTGAGTTTTGGGAGAGGGATGAGAAGGAGAAAAAAAGTGGCCAGAGTGGTTACATTACAGACCAAAATTTTACCCCTGGAAATTTCTACATCGATTTGATGTAGAGGAGGTAATGTGCAAGAAAATCGAGGGCAAAGCCCTCAGTAGCATGCAAGTGGAACAGCTTACAGCAAACACTCAACTTACCATGCTGCCCTACCAAGAGTGACCTCCTGCAAAATTTGCTCAAAACCAAGGAGGACCACCAACGTGGACATGTACCATGAAGGTTAAGGGTCAGATAAACTCCTAAGTCTGATCACAGTGATTAGGACTTGCCATGGAGTGCCACAAACAGCAACATTTTCATTGCCGCGACAAGCTGCCCTAAGGGGAGAGAGTCTAACATTGCATTAAAAAGGAATGGCTGACAAAGACTTAAAGATGAGATTACAGTAGGAAAGCAGATTTTTAAAGTGACTTCTCATGTCCACTGCTCTTGCTTCTTTTGTGGCAATAGGATTACTGGGCAGTTTGAAGATAAGCGCTCTCCTGTCCCTGAGAAATTTTATTTTTTTCTTTGGTGGGGCGTAAATAACAACTGAAGTATTTTTGCTGAAAACCTACTTCAATCCAGAATGACAATTCTGATGGTCTTCACAAGCTGCTGTACTTGGACCACATAGAGGAAAGCAAAGAGATATTTCCCACTTGGAACATTTGAGTTTTGACCCAAAATTTTTAATGGAGATACCATAATGTCTGTACAGAAGCAGGCTGAATAGCTCTGCCATTTCTTACTCCTGTTTCTCATGCTTAGTGAGTAACACCTTCTGAGCTGCACAGCAATGACTAAAAGTCTCCATCAGAAACTTTAGTAGGCAGAGGAGTTTCTCTTGGAGTTGTCAGACAAGCCTGATATCTTGTTTGTCCCTTTTTCTATCAGTATCACAGACTTCTGTGTCTCTGTCTGTCCTATTCAGAAACAGAATATCTGATCTCAATATTTGGGATGGGAAGGCTTTGCAAAATTTCAGCTGGAATGAAAAAAATACATAGTCCTTTCACCTAGTTCTGACGTGGAATAGGACTGAGATTTGTTTTAACAAAGAGCCTAAAAACAGCTTTTCCTCATGGATGGGTAACACTGGGAGTTAATTTCAGCATGCAAACCTTTTTGTCTTAGGAGCATAGTCATTCAGTAAGTTCCTTGGCAGAGTTTTTTTAGGAAGATTAAATTTAATGTCATTGAAGTGAAAATGGAGGGAGGATAAACTTTATATTGAGTTTGTTAATTCTTCTGTGTGCTCCAAGCAGCATCACTGCCTGTGCTCAGTGCCACTTGCTTGAAGCCAAAGCAGAGCAGCATCAGGCTTCTGCACCCTGCTACACCTCAGCGAGACAGCAGTTATGAACCTCCATCACTAATGAGCAAAGCTGCAGTCCCTGGCCAGGGACTTTTCTGATGAATATCAAGTAAAATGAAACCTTTCCCTGAAGTTTTTCTTCAGGCCATTAGCACCAGATGGTTATGAATTCGGAGCCGAGTGTTGCAGGCCAAGCTCATAATTACTTTTATACTTCATTTGGAGAAATACTAAACTTTGGGCCTATCCCCTGGCAGCAGTTACATTCTCATGGTTCCTGCCGAAGCCAGCACTTAGCTCCCAGAGTGGAATGCAGCCCTTAGTGTTTTTCTCATGCTGCTCAGTGTGCTGTTAGGACCCTGCCCACGTGATGACTCTGCTGCTCAGATCCTGCCCAGCTTAGTTAATACCAGAGTGACTAACTACCAGCACTCAGTCATACTGGTACATGTGCCCTCCTCTGTACTGGCTGCTCTCCCAAGATCTGCTAGGACCTTTAAACCAGGAATAAAAAAAGCACACTTTGAAAATGACAATAGCACAGGCAGCATGCAAAGCCACAGTGGCTGTTCCAGCTCATGCATGGCATGGTGCCTATAGAGAGGCCAGAAATCTGCATCCCACTTCCCAAGGTCCTCCCACCAGCACTGATCATAGCACTTCCTTTAGTAGCCTAGCACGCTGCTAGAGAGCTATCTGCTGCCTGAGAGCTATCTGCCAGCATAGGGAAGGCAAAGGGCCAGGCCATTCAATCTTAAAATACCACATACAGGGATAAAAAAATCCAGTAACAGCTGCTACACATTCACGTTTCTTGTGGGAAGTACTCCTTGGAGGAATGGCTAAATAAAATGTGGCCTACAAGAAAATAAGGTGATTTCCAAAGTGTAGAAGAACTGAAATTGCTGCTGTCCCCAGTGCCACCGTGTTTACTTCCAGGACCTTCAGAACTGAAGTTACATATTTAATTCTTTAACATTTCAAGTACTTGCATTTGCATATTTTCAAAAAGTCTTTTACTTAAAGTTTAGCTATTTAGCTTAAGTATTTAGCTGTAGATACTATTATTGCAATAACCTTGGGGGATGATAGTTACATTATTTTATTTTTAAATGAGAAATTTCCTGGGATAAGGGCTGGACTCCCCAGGTCCCAACAGGGACAGCTCATTGGCATGCACAGGGGCACATTTTCTAAAGGGCTCTTAATCACTTAGGGAAACAGCATTAAAAATAATAGCATCAGCTATTTCTCAGCCCCATCACTTATGGGTGGATGACCAATGCACTGCCATTGCTGTCGGACTTGGGTGCTGGGGGAAAGCCAGGACAGATTGTGTAAGGGCAGCCAGTGTCACCTTCCACCAGTGCAAAATAGGTTAAGACCCCCAGGATGAGCTCAGGTCCATTTTGGCAACTGCATCAGCAGGGAGATCTGTCCTGTGGTTAAATGGCAGAACCCAGCCCCCAAAACTCTGATTTATACTTTCTTCTCTCCACTGAATTACACAAAGAAAGAAAGAGAGAAAGGCAAGGAAGAAATAGCAAATCTAATGGTGCAGCCGATGGGAAGAGGTGAGTGAAAGGTAGGAAGAGGAAGGATCAGGAGATAGCAATAAATGTTTGTAAAATTCACGTTATTTGGTGGGCTCAGGACATTGTTTTGTTCTCACTTTTTCCTCAGAGTGAAAATTCCTGAAAGTCAGGTGATTTTTATCGACTCCATTACTTGTCTCCCTTTTCTGGATCCTCTTCAAGGTGGATTTTGGCAGGACCTTTGCCTGTGTAGCTACACTGTCACAAGGTTGGCAAAATTCACATCAAGACCCCCAGGCTCTCAGCACCGGATTTACCCAAAGGCATGCTAAAAAGCAGTTAGGAAAGGCAGGCAAAGAGAGTTTCATTTATATATTTATTTATTTAAGCAGGAAAAAAAAAACCACAAAAAACCAGAGGAGCTGTAAATGAAATACAGCCAGCTAAAAGCCAAGCCAGTATGTCAAATTTCACTCCCAAGCCCCCTAATAAACGTCCTTTCTTTTACAGCCCTGGTAAATGATGTGCTGTGCACTGCAAGGCTTGCTAGGAGGTATCTGTACCACAGCCAGCTGCTCTTGTTTCTGAGAATTGTGTAACATCATCCAGTCCAAACAGTAGGGCTTTAATTCAGTCACAAAATTTTTATATCATGAAAAGATTAAAGCAGCACCCCCTTCCCCTGGCCCCTCTCCACCCTGCCCCCACTTTGAATGGCTAACTCTTTCCAGGTGACTTTGTTTTCCCATTGCCTTTGATTGAGCTATGTTTCATTTCCCGTGTTTGGGGCCTGATCCTGCAATCCTGCCAGAGCCTGCCCTCTGTCTGGATAAGGCCTGTTTTTTTGTTAAAGCAGGTTGGATTGGGTCAGTCACAGCTAGACAGCTGCCTAGGTGGCCTGGGGCCATGCTGCTGCTTTTGGGAAAGGACAAAGTGATGCCCAGAGCACCAGGACCATTCAAACACTTGTTTTGGGGCATGGGACAGGTCGTATTTTTAAAAAGCCTACTGTAGCTTTGGTGAACCCGAGTTTTCACAGAACACGAGCAACACTTGCTCATATACATGAATTAACCCAGCCTGTCAACATCCACATGTGTTCACGTCCAAGAATTTATTGTTAGTCCTGGCACAGAGTAAAGCATCCCTGATAGTCCAAATCAAGATAAAACCACCAGGAGCTAAGCTTGTGTTGGCAACCACCTGGCAACAGTTGATGCACACTCCCTTCCCCCCACAGACCAAGCCTGCCCCTACCTGTCAGCCAGATCCAGTTTGTCCATAGTGCCAGATCTGATACCTCAACCTGCTCCCCTTTCCCCAGCGTTTCTTTATGGCATGAAAAATGGCCTTTTGGGTGACTGCAACCATGTCTTATGCTTTTTTTTTTTTTTCTCCCAGCTAAGCTGCAAAACACGGTGGATAGAGGCAAATTCTCTGTGGAAAACACATTTTCCTCTGGTACAGCTGGTGCTGTGTTAAGATCCAATGTGTCTACATTGCTGCAGGAATAAGCTGCATATTGTCTCAGAAACTTTTCTGGTATAAATACCCTGGTAAAGACTTTGCACTGTGCAAAATTCATGTGTAAGCACTTAGGACCAAAACTGCAAGCATTTTTTTGTTTGTGTTTGCCAGTGTTCCTGTAGCTGTTTCATACCTGAAGCATGAGCGATCAAAATGATTTCTCTACAGAGGATAATGTTCTCTGGGCTGGGACTTTGCTTACTAATCCATAAAAAATCATTTATGCTTGCCACCTATATGCTCTGAAGAACTATGAACTTGTGCCACTGTGATTGCAGACTTTTGCCAGTGAAAAGTCCAATTGTTTAAAACCCCATTCAGATTCATTCATCTCATATCCATTCACATTTCCTGACAAGTCTAAACTAGGCAGTCAAGGAGAGGTAACAAGTAGAGGGGCTACCATTTCCTTCCCACTGGAGGTGAGAGCTGAGGGGAGGTCTGATAAATACGTTTTTGAGCCCATAGAAAGCCACAGCA